ACCGTTTTTGGTGTAATTTGTCACTAGATAACGAGCGTCCTAGAGACATTGTTGTTAATGATGAACTTGTGACTGAATTCTGCCGTATTTCAACTTGTTTTAATGACTTTTTTCCAATCTGTATTCACTGATAGTTCTGCAAATGATTTTTCACCCTTTGCGCTACGATCTTCATGCATTTCAACAATGCCTGAGAGAAAGGTGTCATATGAAGGTATTGTAGCACTTTTGCTTAACATTAAAGATAAGAAATCCATAGGTCCTGATGGTATACCAAATGCGTTTTTTACGGAGGTATTCAGAATGGGTAGGCAGCTATCTCGAGATTATATTTAAGGCATCGCTAGTACAGAAACGAATCCCAGATGATTGGCTCGTTGTAAAAGTTGTTCCACTACACAAATAAGGTGGAAAGCAAGATATAGGAAACTACCGGCCCATTTCAGTGACGTACGTGTGCTGCAAGTTTCTGGGGCACATAATATCAAAATCAATTTACGGTTATCTTGAAAATAAGAGTGCATTTTTTTTCTAACCAGCGCGGTTTAGACGAAACCTATCCTTTGTTACACAACTGGTATAAACAATGACTTTTTGACTGCACTGAATAAGAGAAAACAGATCGGCACTATATGTTCAGAATTATGGAAGGCTTTTGACCAGGTTGTGCACACCAACTTAATAAATGAGCTAACGGAGATGAACGTATATTATGAAGTTGTAGCGTGGATCCATTCATACCTCACAGGTCGGACACGATTCGTCGAAATAAACGCCAAGACATCGGATCTGCTAAACATAACTTCAGGCGTACCACAGGGATTCATTTTGGGACCCTTGCTTTTTTTATTTACATAAATGATATTGCTTATGACATAAGTGACGATATATCAGTCAGGTTGTTCGCAGATGATTGCCTAATATACCGTGTAATCAATAACCAGAATGATCAGGCGTCACTTAAGCAAACTCTTAAAGCTGTAGAAGGATGGACCACTAAATGGCAAATTAAAATCAATGAATCCGAAGGAGTTAGGCTCAGAGTTGATTGATTGATTTATTCGTGGGGTTTAACGTCCCAAAACCACCATTTGATTATGAGAGACGCCGTTGTGGAGGGCTGCGAAAGTTTTGACAACCTGGGGTTCTTTAATGTGCACCCAAATCTGAGCATACGGACCTACAACATTTCCGCCTCCATCGGAAATGCAGCCGCCACAGCCGGGATTTGATCCCGCGACCTGCGGGTCAGCAGCCGAGTACCTTAGCCACTAGACCACCATGGCGGGACATATGCTCAGAGTTACGAACAGAAAAAAAAACATGTATAACAATGTCAATATGAGATGAATTCCACAACTCTAAACGAAGCTGACTCGATAAAATACCGAGGCTTTATCATTTCAAATGACTTAAGTTGGAAAACACACGTGAACAGCATTTGTGCAGCTGCAGAAAAAAAAAGTTATGGTTCCTTTGTCGCAAACTAAAGCTAGCCACACCATCTGTTAAGCTGTTTGCATATTTGACCTACGTAAAGCTAACGTTAGAATACGCCTGTGCAGTGTGGGATCCCTTCCAGTCAAATCAAATCATTTTATTTTCCCAGAAAGAAACAGGTTCTGGAGAGGTTCACTGGCTAAAAGCTGTTTATGGACAGCTTGACGAGGCCAGTGAACCCTATACAAGGCAGGTGGGACAATTACAAAAGATGTGTGTAACAATAAAGACCATAAGCTAACATAAAATTACCAAAATACGGTGTAATAAAAACATATATATACATTCCTACGAAACATCCTGATACCAGCATAGCACAGAAGATTGCATGGACGCGAGCAAAAAGAAAAAAAAACAAAGAAAGAAAACAAAAGAAAAATCCAGCAACCATAACACCAATATGGCCAAAAAAATAAAATAATAAAAATGATGAAAATATCAGGGAAGATGCATACAAATTTGATCCTTGTGAATGTGCTGCATCATACAATGTACATATATCAGACAAACAAAATTATACAGACTGAATTATATCATATAACCTATTCGGTACAGCATGGATGCACACACTGAAAGAAAAATGAATTGGTACTATCGTACAGACAGCACATTTTACAACGTGAAAAAAGTTAGCCTATATTTACAAAAAAGGATCGTAGTTCTTTTAATGAGAAACTGTTTACATGACTGTATTTATTGAGAATCATTGGTAGATTGTATTGCAATGTTTGAGATTTATAATTATTGCGAAACCTCGGAACAAACCAAACAGCACTGCTTCTTGTTCCTAACAAAACATTTTTTGCAGTTAGACATGCGGTATTTTTAATGAATTGTTTAAACGAAATGGAAGAGAAATAGTAGGATCGCAGAATACGAAAGATATACATATATTCCACTTTAATAATACCATAGTCCCGACACGCAAGTTGTGTTGATGACAAATAGTCTAAATTAGCGACATGTCTAATAATTTTTTTCTGCATGGTCTGAAGTTTCATTATGTTCGTTTTAGTCGTGGTTGCCCACACCAAACTGCAGTAATTTATGTGCGAAAGAAAAAGAGCATGGTATATTTGCAGTTTCACCTTTGCGGGTAAGATATATCTACAACGAGCTAGCACACCAACTACACTAGAGGCTTTTTTGCAGATGTCAACGACGTGTGGTTCCAGCTGAGGTTTGATGAAAACGTGACGCCAAGAATTTTATGTTCATCCACAAAACGAATGTGTTCACCTGCGTAAACTAACGCTTGTGTTGATGAAAATATTTTGTTTTTAGCTCGGAATACGATGGCTTTTGTTTTCAGTGGATTAATTTTCAATAAATTTTTGCTAGACCACAAGAAAAGCTTGTTCAATAGCTTATTACACCGGATAATTAGCTCATTTGCGTCAGGGCCTGAAAAAAGTAAGTTCGTGTCATCAGCATATATAACAAAGCTCACACTGGGATCAATATCCACGATGTCATTTATGTAAGCATTGAATAATAGCGGCCCCAGTACGCTTCCCTGGGGCACACCATTTAGAACCGGTAAATATGATGACGTATGAGTGCTTAACTGTACGCGTTGCTGTCTATTTTGCAAGTATGACTTTATCAACTGAAGTGACGTGCCACGGATTCCGTATGATTCAAGCTTAAGCAGTAAAATGGTATGATTAATGCAATCGAAGGCCTTGCTGAAATCAAGAAAAACAGCTAACGTGAAAAGATTTCGTTCAAAATTTTGCAGTATCATTTCCTTAAGTGTTAATAGGGCCGTCTCCGTTGACCTTCCTTTCCTAAAACCAAACTGAAAGTCAGTGATTATATTTGTGGAGCAGAAGAAGGCAGATATACGCGTATAGATTAACTTTTCTAATCCTTTAGAAAACACAGGAATAATAGATATAGGTCTATAATTAGTCACCAGGTTACTGTCACCACCCTTGAACAACACAGTCACTCTGCTTCTTTTCATATCTTCTGGAAAAACACCCGACTCAAGTATCAAATTGAAAATGTGGCTGAGCGCTGGAGTAATGCAATCTAAGACATATTTTATAGGTTTTATTTGAATGTTGTCAATGTCTAGTGCCTTACTGTTCTTTAGGTTCATGAATGTCGTGTACATTTCTCGTTCATCTGTTGGTGCTAGAAAAATACTGTCGGGGCGTTTATTTCCTGGTGTAGCCCTGAAAGAGTTTGCCTGCAAAGGCACGCTTGCTGATACACCCACATTGACAAAATGATTATTCAAGTGATCCGCAAGTTCTTTGCCAGCGAGCTCGACATTGTCAACGGTAATCTTAGCTGGTGCGGAGTCCCGCTTACCGCGACCAAGCACATCATTAATTAAGCGCCAAACAACATCAGGTGATTGCTGGGCGCTTTCAGCAAACATTTTCTCGTAGTAAGTTACCTTAGCTCGCTTAAGCTCCCGATTCAGCTTGTTACGTGTTTTTTTAAACTCTGCCAGATCTGTCAGTAGTCTTGATTTCAAGAATAAGTTGTAAAGTTTATTCTTAAGTCGTATCATACTAGCAAGAGAGGGGGTCACCCAGGGTTTACGTATTTTTTTCGATAGTTTAACTTGCTTGAATGGGAAGTGTTTTACGTATATACGTACAAAGGCAGCAAGAAATTTTCGATAGGCTTCGTCTGCAGAAGTTAAGTTGAAAAGAAAAGACCAATCATATTCACTAATATCCTTCTTAAAAGATTCCAAACTGTGGTTTGTTACAGTTTGTATTGTATATGGTTCACGATACATCTCCTTGATATTCGGCTTGTGGGAATAACATATAAATACCGGGCAATGATCACTTATATCTGATGAAACTGTTCCGCACTGAAATACACTGGCTTCGATATTTGTTATTAGTAAGTCAAGGCACGAGACAGATAATGGTGTAACACGTGTAGCTGTGGAAATAACATTCCTAAAACCGGCACATTGAAGCATGTTCAAAAAATTCGTAGTAATAGGGTTATCATTCAAGATATTGATATTGAAATCACCACCACATACTAGTGTAAAATTATTGGATGATACGTAATGCAGAAATTTATCAAAAAAGCTTTGAAAGCTCAAAATATTGCCCCCTGGAGGACGATACACAGCAGCTATCATGTCTGAATTGTGTCTGAGTGCCAATACTTCGTAGTCCTCACACGTGACACAAAAATCTGATACTAAATTATACTTCCAGCGACCGTCTACGTGAATAGCAACGCCTCCACCACGCCTGTTACGACGATCAAGGAAAAATGCTTCATATCCATTAAACTTCTGCCGGCAGTTTGCGCCGTCATACCATGTTTCAGTCATCATGATGACTTGAAACTTGAAGTGGAAATCATTGAGAAGGTAGTGTATGACGTCACTCTTAGACTCTGCAGATCGAGCATTGAAATGTAACACAGTCGAATGGAATCTGTTTTGAGCACTAAGCAAATGAGGCAATACGAACTCGTGGTATTCCATCTTTCTTGGACCAAACAGTGAGCCCTTACGAACTAGTAGTTATCTTAGATAAAGAACTTTCATCATGAATCTGAATTACAGCTGAAAGCTCGCTCTGCCTCGCGAAAATCTTGCCATTCGCTGTCCACACAGATTTCCAGTTGCATTCATGTTTTCTTCTTATTGCCATTCCAAGTAGCCGTTTCAATGTCGGGCAAAGGTGCTCATTGATGTATATCGGTGTCGAGATATCTAGTCCCACGTCTTTGTTTGTTAGTCGAGCCTTCTTTGCTTTCCTCAGAGTTGCATCACGCTTCGCTCTTGATTTGAATTGTACAACGATGTTGGATCGCTCAGGGTTTCGCGTAGGCACTCTGTGACAAGATTCTATGTCAGCTTCTGTGATTTGCTCATTAATGGCACTTCCGATCATTGACAAGATATGCGGCACGCTTTCATTTTCTTTTCTAGCAACACCCTGAATTTCTAGATTGACATTGCGAGAGTACTGCTCGGCAAGCAGAAGTCGCCTTTCCATGTCAGCACCTCTAGACTCCAAAGCTGTGCACTTAGCCCGAAGAAGCTCATTTTGTTTTTCTTGTTCAACATTTACCGAGAGCGCAGTGCTCAGCTTTTGCTTCAGTTCCTGAATCGTTTGGTGAGCAAATTCAATGCTGTTAGTCATATTCCGCTGCTCAGTTCTTAATTCTCGAATTTCCGTTCGAAGATCCCGTTCTATCATGTCTTTATACTTTGCAAGCTCTTGTTTGAATTCCGCCCGTAGTTCTTCCTTAAGCTTTAACAGTTCCTTTGCCATAGTTCAACAACAACAGTATGCACTTACGCGTTCGTTACAAAAGAAAAAGTCACCAATTTCACAAGCTTGGCAGTAACGACGAGAAGGAAAAAAAAAGAGAAAAAAAAAGCTACAATGTTCAACCACTAACCTGCAGCAAAAAGGCAGCAAGGATTAGGCGATATCGAAGCGTGTTCGTCGCCACTGCCAAGTGAAAGCCGTCCGCAGCCGACGTAGCCTTTTATCGATGTCTCCGCTGTCCCGTGATGCTGCAGTGCCGCCGGAAACAGCTGACGGTAGCACCTCCTGGTCGCAGTTTTCTTGGGCCAGCTGATCACGTGTGCACGTGCGATGATCTGCGCCGATTCCAGTGCGAAGTGCAGCTGTGCAGAAGCAGCGATCTGCAGCAAAAAGGCAGCAAGGATTAGGCGATATCGAAGCGTGTTCGTCGCCACTGCCAAGTGAAAGCCGTCCGCAGCCGACGTAGCCTTTTATCGATGTCTCCGCTGTCCCGTGATGCTGCAGTGCCGCCGGAAACAGCTGACGGTAGCACCTCCTGGTCGCAGTTTTCTTGGGCCAGCTGATCACGTGTGCACGTGCGATGATCTGCGCCGATTCCAGTGCGAAGTGCAGCTGTGCAGAAGCAGCGATCTGCAGCAAAAAGGCAGCAAGGATTAGGCGATATCGAAGCGTGTTCGTCGCCACTGCCAAGTGAAAGCCGTCCGCAGCCGACGTAGCCTTTTATCGATGTCTCCGCTGTCCCGTGATGCTGCAGTGCCGCCGGAAACAGCTGACGGTAGCACCTCCTGGTCGCAGTTTTCTTGGGCCAGCTGATCACGTGTGCACGTGCGATGATCTGCGCCGATTCCAGTGCGAAGTGCAGCTGTGCAGAAGCAGCGATCTGCAGCAAAAAGGCAGCAAGGATTAGGCGATATCGAAGCGTGTTCGTCGCCACTGCCAAGTCGGGGTTAATAAATCGATTTGAAGAAATACTGAGAAATCCGCAAGGCTAATAATTTTATCGCGTTATTCACGAAATGATTCTGTTTTTGAAATGCTTCGGTTGCTTGAATTGCCTACGCTGGCTCAACGCTGGAAAGTCGGTCCACTTAATTTTTTTTTGTGTTCAAAAGGACACCTCAATATTGAAACTAAACCTTATCATGTTTCCAGGCCCTCCAGCAATGTCCGATCACGCAATCAATTTGTGTTTTCGGTTCCAAAATGCAATCTTGATGTGTACGCGTATTCCTTTTTTTTCACAAACGATAAAGGAGTGGAATCAGTTGCCAGTACCGGTACTGAATTCGAAGAGCATAGAAAGCTTTGAAAAGTGCATCAAAGTATGTCGTGAACATTGAGTGTTGCTATAGTATTGAACATATATTTCCATGTTGTTCGAAAATACATCGCGTAGTTACTTCATACTGCATACTATGCCACCATCACAATATATGTTACCTTTTATTAACAGGGTTTCAAATAAAATAATTTTCCTTTGTGTATTTTTTTTGTTCTGTCTTCATTAAAATGCGTTGTACTTGTTTTTGTTTTATGTTAACATTTACTGTATTCACCCTGTTATGGCCATAACGGCCAACGTATTTCGATATAATAATAAAAACGGTAGAGACAACACGGGAGATCCGACGTACTTTGGGAATCGTTCTTATGCGAACAAGGAAGAGGGAAGATGACTGTGCTCTTACTGTTTTTATAGCGAAACGTTACGAAATGACGCTAAATATACCTACATTTGTTCTACGTACAAAGATGTTAAGTAATCGCATATATTACTATAACCAATTGCTTACAGTTGCGTAACAATGCCAACAGCAGCACGGGTATCAGTAACATTAGAAATGGTATGCTGATTTGTAATACTTAAACTGACGAGTATGGTACCTTTTACGCTACTGCTACATAAATAAATGTCCGTACGATTTCAGTACAAATACAGATAACGTTACTCGATGGAAAAGCGGTATTGTAGGAGTACGTATATGTAATACTTATTGCATGTGATATGCAGCAATGCATCCAAAATCGACGTTCCTTAAACAATACGGTGTATTTGAAAAGCAGTTCCGAGCGTCTGTGTTTTAATGCTTGATTGCCACGCGGAATACATGGGTTCGAATCCAGCTGGAAGCCTGACGTTTATTCTTTGCATTTGTCAAGTCAATGCTACCGATATCTTCTTTTTCTTAACGCTCAAGCATTAAAATTATCCATCGATGTTATCACCGTTCCTGGGTAAGTATAAATTTGAAATCACCTGTGCCACATACCTTCGGGCGAGTATGTGCCACACGTGTGGCGGTAAGGGTTTCAAGACGTACGTGAGGGATTGTGACATTATTCATATTCGTGAAATCATCTTACCCTCTCAACGAATATTGGTTTTCCCCAAGTTAAGGGTATTATTACACCACACAGCGGTGGTCTAGTGGCTAAGCTACTCGGCTGCTGACCCGCACGTGCTGGGATCGAATCCTGGCTGCGGCGCTGCATTTCTAATGGAGACGGAAATGTTGAAGGCCCGTGTGCTCAGATTTGGGTGCACGTTAAAGAACCCTCTCTGGTCAAAATCTCCGGAGCCCTCTACTACGGCGTCTCTCATAATCATACGGTGGTTCTGTTTGGGTTAAACCCCACATATCTATCAATCAAGGGTGTGCTCACGAGAGCACCCAGAGGTAGACCACTCGATAGATAGATAGATAGATAGATAGATAGATAGATAGATGTGCAGGCAGACAGATATACAAAAAAAAAAACACTTCCAATTTAAAGTAGTGTGCCGAGGGGAAGCGCTGAACTAGAACAGGACTACTGTACGATGTGCGGAATAAGAGAACCATTTATCAATTTGAAAATGCACGTATTCCTGCCTCTCACCATTTTAATAACGACGTAGAATAAAAACGTTGAGACGTTGAGAAAAAGGCGCAGCGTGCATCAGTACCTCTCAATGACGGAAGACGCTTTCTAGTAGACTTCACCAAAAAGCTTCCTGATGTAGTGATCCTGCGGTAAGTCTATCCAATTTTTGCTTACGATGTTGCAATTAGTTGTACTTTTTAGTCGACGCAGTAAATCTGTTCGTAATCATCATAACATTTTAGAAAGTTGTTTGTTAATAATATAACATTATGCTCCGAGACAACCTGATACAATGGTGTCGCCCGGCCAAGAGCCTCAGCTGTGTTTAAACTGCGAACACTAGCTCATCTTCAAGGGCTGCGACGCATTCAGGCACTGCCACTCTTACAGGAGAAGTAGTCCCATGGAACGTGTTGCAAGCCTTCAGGAGAATTCAGAAGCCTTCAGAGTAGAGCGTGAGTTCGTCCCTTGAATATTCCGCATCGAAGAGCTTTTGTTGAGAACTCCAAGTTCGATGCGGTGAGTGCATTCATCTTGCCTGCTTAAGCTTCGGGGTATACAAAGGTGTCAAGATTAGTTTCCTGAACACTGCAGCCTGCCTTTACGGCTCGCGTCATATCAGGGGCATGTCTGAATTTTAAAAGTAATGCGCATTACAGAGTCACGGTGACCTTTCTTAAAAACATTGCGTGGATAACCTCTGGTGATACACTGTGTGTTGATCTGGCAGAATAATCAGCGCTAAGGTAAATTGTGTGGGTCACGCGAGTGTCAACGCTCAAGTACAACGTTGCGATCTAGTCACATGACATTTCGGCATGTGCCCGAATGTCATGTGACTGGATCGAAGTCATTATGAACATGACATTCTGGCATGTGCCAGAATTTCATGTCCATGATGACTTCCTCAAGCGCACGCGATGGTGTGACGGAGCGATGGGTTTCTCGCGCAAAAAAATAACAGGGCTTAAAACTCAGCTGTGCGACCTTTACTTTAACAGAAAAATGTCTACATTATCGCTAATACTGAGGCTCCATAAATTGCATGCTTTTACTGAGCATTAAAAAGATGGTGATGCACTCCATTTCTGTTCCACTGACACCACAGACCAAAACTGCGGGGTATAGCTCCAACAGAGCCATTTATGCAGGTGTGATCGTGCGTGGAGTGACAGGTGCCTGGTGTTGAAAGTGACCCTCAACACTTTTTTAAAAATGATTTGAAAATCCGGACAATCAGTACAGTAGAGGCCCCTGCAAACTTTGGAGCCAAACAATATAGAATTGCAGATGGCATGAAATCGGCAGATAAAGTTTGAATGCAAGTTAAAATTACGTGCTTTGCTCTAGAGAAACGGTGTCATAAACTATTTTTCCAATGCGCTGCAACCACAGAGACTTCGCAATTAGTGAAATTGAGCACCATAAATTGTCATTAGTGAAATTCAGCACCGTAAGCTCTATATTCATCACGACCACCAAGAGATGAAGTGACGTTTCCACATCGTTCTCTATATAGTGCTGTAATTACGCACACTATAGTATTACATCAACGTATTCGAGATTACACTAATTGTGAGCTGCTGGCTCAAATAAAAAATGGCTAAGGTTATGCTGTGTTCTGAAATATGGATGTGTGCTTCTTACTCTCTTGTTATCATCTTCTGTGCAGCTATCGGTGCACTCGCTGGAATGAACGAGCATAGAAAGCGTTTAAAGCATGCGAGAAGTCCCTGTAACTTCATTCATACTTGAAAGATACTAGTACTTTCTGCGGCAGTACATTTGTGACGCGATCACCTTTACTATGGTGATAATAACCGATCAATACTGGAAAAAACTGTTTAGTATCTCAATGTGGTTTATGTTTATTTCTGTGCCTATCTGCACAGATACCTTATCACTAACGTCACACTATCCTTTTTGGTCGAATCAGTTATTTCTTGAATGTCGCAAGTCTATTACACTTGCTAAAAGCTCTGTTTCATCTTTTATATCAGCCAAAAAGACGCACTAAAAATGCCTAAACATGCCTCTTCCCACAAATTTACCTGTTGACATTCTACAAGAAGTATTTTCACATGAGGCCACTTGAATTCACGAAGCTGATAATGAGAGCAATCACGCTAGGACCT